AGTGACATTTATACATATATTCATATCTAATTTATAAGATATATATATCTTTATATACAGATATAATTTATATATAATAAAAAATATTTATATATTTTATATAAGTTCAGTACTCTACATGATCTATACATATCTTTATAAATATATATTTACACATATGTGTGTCTATATACATATATACATATGTGTAGGTGTGTGTGTATATATGTGTATATGTGTATATATACATATTTTTTTTCATGTAAATGATTTTCTATGTTTGTGGTCAGAGTAGGTTCAGATTTATTTTTATCCCTCTGTAATCTTAGGCAATGGGAGGTTAGATGTCCTTTTCCCAAATTTTGTTTTAGGTAAGGGTAAAGTTCGAAGTGGTCAGAGGAAAGCAATCCCCATGTGGAGCATTACTACATTACAATGTTGACTCAGGGACACTTCCCTTGCACTAAATTCCTAATCTAGGCAGGTATGTTTGTCTGAGTCTTTTCCATAATCTGGTTCATTCACTCAGTATTACCTTAACAAATGTATCGTAAGAACCTGTGTTTACTACCTGAGTCTTACTTGGTGAATCATCACTGTGCTGGTTTTCTAACCAAGACATTGGGGAGATTTCTGAGTCAGTAGCATAGCTAGAGCTAGAAATCATGATTCCTACACCTGCTTGGAGTCTAGTTATCCTGTTACACGTGTGAGTTGGCCTATTGAAAGAGCTGGTGCCTGGTTTCATGTTTTGTATGTAAGTTTTTACATTTTGACATGAAGGCCTAAGCACAGGCATCTCAGGTTTTCCTCTCAGAATTCTCATCACCTTTCTTCCCCATACACTCATTTTGTCTTTGTTGTAAAACCCTTCTTTAGCCAGGCTGGTCTAGGTTGGGAAAACGACTCTTTGATCATAACCGAAGAAGGAATGTATCAAAGCAAACCATCCTCTGTGAGAGGGACTGTGGCCATGGCTGTACACCTGGGTGTGTGAGAAGAAATGGGATCCAGCAGACCAATGGCAGGTCGCTCCCCTGAGACAGCAAGCAAGGATGAAAGACAGTTTGCAAACAGGAGTTGCTTGTGAAGTCGAGAGAGGCAAACAGGAACATTTCACACCTGCTGTTTCCTGTCCTCTCAGTGTGTGCAGGAGGGAAGAAAGGAGACATCTGGGTCTCAAAGAATATCAAAGTTTTTGAGAAATCAAGGAGGAGGCAGAAAAGGATCTCAGATAAAAAAGACATTCTGCACATACACTCAAGTACAGAGACACTTGCACCATTCCCTGCCCCTCAACTTGTTTTCCCCATGCATTGTGGAATGTTAGTAATGAAGGCCTCTGGGTTTGCTGCTTGTGAGGAGGAAAGTAATGCTGGGAAACTTGATATGTGTAAATAGAAAATATATAAGCAAAGTTATCAGCCAGTCTTGATGTTGCAGCGGAAGCTGAGAGTGCCGTGGTATATCCTGTTTTGTGCATTAGCTTTTTCTGGGGCATGAGCATTCAGGCATTTTATGAAGAACTTAGAAAAAGGAAAAAATGTTTTGAAGTTTTATATTTTTGATCATTAGCTGGAAGGTTTGTCCAGTAGTAAGTTACTTGTGAGATTTATAAAATATTAGGAACGTTTGGCAAGAAGAGACAGGTTTTATGGGAATAATTTGTTTCCTGTTGACCCTCACTGTGGACATATTTGTGTGTACCTGTGTGTGTGTAAAAAGGAGGGTTTATAGAAATACAAACTCTTTTGAATGAATATGAACATGATTGACAATGAATTTTAAAGGTATAAACTGATATGATTCTGAATCATTGATAAACATTCATAAAGCTATGACTATTAGGTCATTTTACTGGTGGAAAGATTTTTCTAATCTTGATTGGAGTCATTTGATGGCAAGAATCCTTTCTTGTCACTATTTTTTGAAAATTAAGAACATGTCATGTTTGTTGCTGTTTGTGTCTAATAGAGGTTTTAAATGATAACTATAGTTTTTAGCTTGAACACTGGTAATTTCAGATATGAAAGTACTTTTGCCATCTTTCTGTGCCAGGCTTGTTACACAGCAGTCAAAATATGTGATGGTTTTCTTAAGACCAGTAGCCATTAATGCGAACCAGTATTCTTAAGCATTTGTTACTGATAACTTCACATTTAATTGTTTGTGGTTTGTCATAGTTTTCATGACATGACAAAAACTTACATGTGTTGATATTGAATATTTTATTGTTGTTCAATCTGTTGTCAGTGAAATAGAAAGGAGAAGGTGCTATTGGAGAAAACATTAAAGGTTTACTAAGAAGTGGCAGTGAGTTTGATGTTAGTAGAGGTCATGCCTTTGAACAGTACTGCTAAGGAATAGATCTAATGAGATTTGGGATGTTTCAAAAAGTTAGTCAGCATCAGTGTAATATTCCTTCAGGGAGCATTTGTAATGCCCACAAGAATGTGTCCGTAGAGAGATCAGATTCCAGGCTAGCCTTTATTTGCTTTCAGTAGTTGACATAACACACACCTGTGTGTTCTCTTCGCTAACCTCAAAATTGTTTTGAAAAGCTTCTGACATTTGGAAGCGTGAAAGAGAGAAGATTTTGATTTGTTTTCTGGCAAGTAGGAAAAATAAATTCTAAATGTTGTGTTTTACCCATATATGGCCCTTGCAGTAAAGGCCTTGGTGTGTCTCATATCCTTCTTTTTTTTTTTTGTAACAGAATCTCCCTCTGTTGCCCAGGCTGGAGTGGCACAATTTTGGCTCACTGCAGCCTCCGCCTCCAGGCTCAAGTGATTCTCCTGCCTCAACCTCTCTAGTAGCTGGGATTACAGATGTGTGCCACCACACCTGGCTAATTTTTGTATTTTTAGTAGAGACAGAGTTTAGCCATGTTGGCCAGGCTGGTCACGAACTTTGTCTCATGTCCTTCTAATCAATTGTGGAATAAAGCCTCTATGGTTCCATGATAGATTATATTTAATTATATAGTGTTTTCCTTGAAGCATTTTAACATGCTAGAGATAGATGTGTGTGTGTGTGTGTGTGTGTGTGTGTACATGTGTGTGTGTTTACAGTTAGATGTAAAATAGCACTTGTGTTTTCTTCTTGAAGGGAGTCATTTAGAAATTATCTCTCAGCCGGGGGGTGCAGTGGCTCACACCCGTAATCCCTGAACTTTGGGAGGCCAAGGCAGATGAATTGCTTGAGTCCAGGAGTTCAAGACCAGCCTGGGCAACATGGCGAAATGCTGTCTCTACAAAAAATAGAAAACTTAGCCAGGTTTGGTAGTGCATGCCTGTAGTCCCAGCTACTTAGGGAAACTGAGGTGGGAGGATCACATAAGCACGGGAGATTGAGGCTGTAGTTAGCTGTGATTGTGTCACTGCACTCTAACCTGGGCGACAGAGCGAGACTCTGTCTCAAATAAATAAATTAAATAAATAAATAAATAAATAAAAAGAAATGATCTCTCCTGATAGTTTGTGTGTAGGAAAAGAAGTGATAAAACTCACCTAATTGAACTTCACCTTTTACATAGTGATAGATAAAGCTTTCCTTGATAGCATACATTGGCTCAGTGCCAGTAGTACCATAAATGCTGTTTCTTAAGAGAATGTCAAGTTTCAGTAAATTTACTTTGAACTTCAAAGCAGTGTGCAATAACTTTGATAATCAAGCTGATCTTATAAAATGATATAAAAGATGTTATGTTTATAATTATAAAAATGTTGAATTTTCTGTTTTAACATCCCTGATGTCCCACATTGATTTTTATTGCATTCACAGATTTTTCTTTTCAGAAGTAAGCTTCACATGGTTTGACATCAGCAGCTTATTTCTTGCAATCTGTTTAATTGAGACTTTTCTGCTGTTTATCCTAAAATGCAGATAAATGGCTTTCAGCACACTGTTTATAGTGTAATAGCTCCTGAAGTGAGTCAGCATTATCAGCTAGAGTCTCCATGTCATAACTAATGGTCTCTCTGCTTATACTTTCCTGCTAGTGAGGAGCCACTGAACTCCACAGAGGCAGGAGCCTTGCATAGTTGGGGGTGGGTAGATTGTTTTGAATGGTGCCTATTGGACAAGGCTTTTTTCCTCCTTTATTGGTGTGAAATGAGAAGAGAAATATGTCATTTTCATGATTTTAGCATGCATGCTCAAAAGTGCCATGTTCTAAGGCTGGGGCAAAGAACTTTTAGGATGTAGTGATCCTGGAGGGATTTGTTTTATTCCAGATTATCTGCTATTTCGTAATAGCACAATTTTAATACTTTTCTGTTGAGGCTGTTTGACTCGCTGCTAGAGAATGGCAGCTACTAGGAAGTATTTGTATTACTACCAAATAGTTATGGGCTTAATAATAAAAGTGAGTATTGTTTGTTTCCCAAGAAAGAAAGAAACTAAAAAACTTCAATTGTTAACTAATTGTTTATCATAAATCAGGCCTATTCATTTTGAGAGGTCATTATGCTTTTTCTTTAGAGGAAAAAAAAAACAAAAAAAAAACAACAACTATGAGACCCCTAGGGAAGATCAACAGACTTGACCATGAGAGTTAAAACTGACAAGTTTTGCCAACCTTTAATTATTTGCTGGGTTTTTACATAGAAGATAGAGGATTATGTAGGTAAATACAGGGAATAGTTTTCATAACTGAAGTACCAGTGAATACATTTTGGTAAAATATTTTGTTTGATCTCATTTGTTCTTTTAGAATGTGGAAAATTTTGACTGAAGTGGCCATTAAGATAGCCATGGTCCTTTGCCCCCATATTAGTATTATGATTGTTTGGGATCACTTTGGTCATTTAAATACAATGTATTTATTTTTTAATTCGCTCTGATACTGAAATTTAAGATAATATATTCAATTTCTTAAAAATATTTCAAAGTGGAAAAACGTAACACACACAAATACATCTACCTAATATTGGTGTGGCTTAAAATATAGAAATATCTGAAGATAGGGTTTGTGAATGGTAATTGTTTCTCACATAGTATCCCAGATACAGGCTTTTTGTTGTTCTTTTTTTGGTGGTGATTTGTTTATTGTGAGAGCCCGTATTGACAGTTATTTAAAAAAGGAGAAAGGAAACATTTTGACCTTAGAGTAGAATTTATGGGTGAGAACATTACTGGCATAAATGAGAAGATATGAATTCGATAGAAGAATATAAAGGAAGAAAATTTAAAGGTAAAATTAACAAGGCTTTTAAAGACTGGGACCACTGAGGTGTACTGGGTGTTATACAATTTAAAAAATAAGAATATAAAAGTGCTTTAGGAGAATGTTTTGAAAACTGAAGCCATTTGTTTATCCAAAGAGGGACAGCTTGAGCAGCATCAGGCCAGAATGTTCCTCTGTGTGCCATGCCCAGATTGAAGATAACACAATTATTATAATAACATAGTTTCAATTCAAATCTCTCCTCAGTGTTTCTGCCCAGAATTCAACAAGATTGTCCTTTGGCAGTCTTATTCCTGCAAATCAAAGCAAAGTAGATGGTGGTTCAGTATTTCAGCCTATTAAGTATAATTTCAAGAAAAAAGATTTATCATAAATTATCAAAACTCTATGAACTCTAGTCTTACACGTATCCAAGTTGCAGTTCAACTGTCTTATTTTACTTGGATATAGACTAATGGAAGAGTTAGGGGAATACTAGTAAAACATCTTACAGCACACTTCCTGAATACCATTCTTCTTTCAGTTCGGCCTCAGGGTGTTACTTGGAAATTGAAATGCAGTATTCTAACACAAGTGTTTGAATACAAGGGAAAACTATAAGATTTGTCAAATTCTGTTGAGAGAAATGTTCTTATGTACACAGGAATTTTTTTGACCCTATTTATTTTAATACATATCCTATGCATATTTTTTTCTAACAAAATTTTTAATATACTTTTTGACTACTAGGGAATTAGCATATAAACAGCAATAACAAAAATAACTTAAAATGTTTAACATGTTCTTTAATATATATATTTAAATTATAGTTACATTTTGTAAAAATTATATTTACATTTTGAATTGATGTGCTTTCTTCGTTTCAGCTCTTTTTGTAAAGGAACTTTTTTGGTTTGTTTTTGACCATCTGCTGTTAGGCAGGGGTGTCTGTTTTTTGGATAAGATTTTAGGTTATTTGTTTAAAGTGGCACAGATACTAGCTTGGAGGACACATGATTTTATGTTTATCTATGGTATAAAAGGAAATAGAGTGAAACTTTTGGTGTGAGTGAACAATCAGCAGACCTTTTATGACAAAAGAACAACAACAAAATTGACAACTTTTATGCCACACTCTCCAAATAGATTTTAAGGTTCATGAACATAGTGGCCATTTCTTCTTCAACTCTTTGAGCCCAAAGTGCTTACAGCACTTTGAAATATTTGTGTATGGTAAATATTTCTTAATATTTGTGTATGATAAATATTTCTTAAATCAATTTGGACTTGTTAGCAGCTTTAAGGTGGCTCTAATAAATATTTCATTCTGTTTTAACCATATATGATGAATAGGATAGCTGTGTCTCAACTATAAATTTTATATCAAAATTTTTAATGAATCAAGTCAAATGATATGGTAGATTTAATAAAAAGATAGAAATAATGGCATTCATTTGGTCTTCAGTTTTCCAAACATTTTGAAATTTTCCAAATTTTAAAAGGAATTTAACATTTAGTAAAGGTAAATCTCCTTAATGACAGATTTCTAAATGTTTGTGTAGTTGATTGATTTATGAAATTGAGATTCTCTTAAGATAAACTTAAGACATTGCATATTGAAATAACATTCTGATTGTCAAAAGATATTATAAAAATAGATTTCTAGATATTTAAATGATGAATTCTAGATATTTTTCTGCCTTGCATAGACTCAGAGGTAGCTTTTAACCATCTGGAAATGTTACATAACACACTGTGGTCAGTGACCTTTTTTTCATTCTTTTTCCTTTTTCTTTTCTTTCTTTCTACTTTTTTTTTGTTTGTTTTTGACTCCTAGGTTTCTTTTCTTTTTTACCTTTCCACTGTCATATGCCATGGGTCCTGAACATAGCTCATTGCTTGACCGGAATAATCTCTCTTGCCAGCTTATAATCAAAGGGAGCACTGAGAAAAACAGCTGAGCTGTATTAGGCAACCACAGTCTGGGCTGCATTTCTTAACTGCTGAATAACACATCACAGGTGCAGGATTAGTGCTGCCTACGGTGCTGGGCTTTTTAGTGGAAACCCCTAGCAATTCTGTGCCTCCTCCTCATGTCTCTCATCCCAGGGAGCCTGGCAACGATATATCAAGCGTACAGAAATCAAAAGTGAGTAGTGGGAGAAGCTTTATATCTCACGGAGACTGTTTTTCTTTTCCCTCCAAAAAATGTAAGCAAGATGAGTAAAGCCAATTCTGGCACAATAAAAGATGTTAGAACTTAGCCTTTCTTGGCATAGATGGTGAAATAGACTAATTCAAGGGGATCAAAAATTTTGTCTAAAAAAATTACAGGGCAAGAAAATATCATTTAACTGAACTCTTCTGGTAGTGTATAATTTAGGTTACTTTTAAATTAATGATGTTCTTTATTAACTTTTGTGTTATGTGTGTTGGAGTGAGTGTGTGTTTGCCCCTACACATTTTCAGCACTGTCAAGGTTAAAATCAAGTGTTGTGGTTGTATAAAGGTCTTGTGGTTTAATTTTTTATAGTTTTTGATGTTGTGAATTCTTTTACTATTAATGTATCAACTATACAATTCTAGATTCATAGATTATAAAGGTCTAGGTTTCTTTCTTGCAAATATGAGTTTTAAAAAATGCAAAATGATTCTTTAAAGTATAAATGTAATGATTTAGATGTTAGATCAAATGAATGTTTCAAAAGTATAGTTACTAAGATATTTATTTTTGACCAAGAAGGATATAAATTGTTTTAGCATGATAAAGTATACATTTGGAGAAGTGAGGCAAGTATGTTTTAGTAATTCGTATCATTTTTGGTATCTATCTTAGCAAATTTCTCTGTGTTGTACAATAGATAAGTGTAAAAGCACATGGATGGCACTGCAGATTTTAAACAATTTTCTTTGGTTTCCAGTTTGTTCTCTTAAAACTATGATGGCTTTCTCATGTTTACATTGCATTCTTATTCATTTTATTGCTGGTGATCATTATTCCATATTGTTTCACCAGAGTTAGACCTTTAAACTCATTGATGGTGATAATAGTCGATAATAATGTTTAGCTTAAAATATATATCCTATATTTTATACCTCAAGTATTTAAACATTTGAACTAGCAATATATTTGAATATTTTTGTCAGTAATAACTAAGGTTACCTTTAACAGTTATCCTATTAGAGGATACAGTAAGGATTAGAAGCAGACAGGTTCTAAATGCTTTCCAGGTTTTTTCTTTGGGGAAAAAGAATAGCACAAACACGGTGATTTGGTTTCTGGTTTGTCTGGCTTCATTGTCACTTCCCTTCTTTACATATATGAATCTATAAAATAGTTTTATACACTAGGCTGTCTTGGGAGTGCTTTGCAAAGCTGCAGAGTAAGTTTTGGTGTGGAGGCAAGTTTAACATCTACTTTGATTAGCTTCAGAACTCTGTGAAGCAGAGCATTCATAGAAACTCTGCTGAATAAAACCATAGCTCCTGGCTTGGAAATCTGCCAAGTTCTGGTTGACTCTTTGACATTATTGTCAAAGAGACCACGGTTCAGTTTCTTTTGTAACAATGTGGACCTGAATTGACACACTAAATATTTTAAAATACAAAGGCATTTTTTTATTTTTAATCATTCTATCAGCTGAGATTATGCTATTTTATGACAATGGCTTCAGTTTGATGTTGCATATTTTTCAAATCATGGTTACTTGCTTGTCAAGTTAATTTTGTTCTTACGTTGTTGCTTTTATTAAAAATACTTACAAACAACTTGTGTTTTAGAGATTTTTCAAAGGTTTTTAATTTATATAAACAATTTGATTGAGTTTCTCTAAATTCAGAAGCAGAGTAAAACTAAGGGAAAGCCTAGCTGTTGTTTTAAATTTAAAGAGCATAATTGTGATGTCCAAAGAATTTTTGTTACTACCATAGTTACTGTTCTTGCTGAGGTTTATACTTCTATATCAATTACCTGGAAAACAAATGAATATAAATGTTTGTGTTGTCTGTTGACTTGTATGTCATATTTACTCTTCTCATGATTTTTTTATGTCATAGTCTGGTATCACATAAAACAAAATGAGTGATTGAAGCTTTTACTTTTTATTCAGATGTTTTTAGGTCTCTTGGCAGGGTTTTACTGATGTGAAAATGTTGAAAACATGATTATCAATCATAACCTGAGTGGATGTGGTGATGTCGATGTGTCAGTATGGTGAAAAGAGAAACAATTGCCAGTGAATAGAAACACCCACAAATATTTTATGAAGCCCTGGTTTCTAGAAAGAGCCAGTACTTCTCTCATATTTAAAATTAGTGTTTCTCTTAATCTACTCATTAGTGTTGACCATGAGTGGCTGAAATGAAAAACTGGCAATATCCCTGGTTCTGGTGGTTATGGTTTCTCTAAAAGATACTGGTTGATTACTGCCACACAAAGTAATCTTCCCTGTTACACACTCCTGTCTAGTACTTATATTTGGCAATTACGTGGCATTGTGACATCTCTTTTATTGTTTTCCTGTACTGTATTTCGGCTCTCCATATGTAGTTGATTTGTCTCACAGTGTTCCACGTGTGGCTGATTTGTCTTACAAGCAAGATTGTTATTTTATTGAGGACACCGTCAAGTACTCTGGGTCATTGTGTTATGTAAATGGATTTAATGATTATTTGCTAAATGAATCAATGCACCAAGAGATGAAAGAAAATAAGAAATTTTGGTCATCCTTGAACAAACTTTCAGTGTGTTTCTTAAGCTGAAAACCTTATATTTTTATAGACTGTTCACCGTGATTAATCTAGAAAGGAAGGAAAAGTAAAAGGCAGTAAAATGAAGCAAAAGAAAGAGGAATTGAAGAGGAAGAGGAGAGCCAGGAAGGGGAAAAGATAATAGGGAAGAAAAGGAAAGGAAGACAAATAGAAACAGGAGATAAAGGAGTAGGGAAAAGGAAAACTGAATAATAGTAAGAGTCAGCAGCACATAAAACAACAATTTATTATTATTGACTCTTACTGTATGCAAAGAACCATAGTTGATGCTTTATGTGGATTTCTCCTCTACTCCAACCAGTGAGTGCTGCTACTCTCCACATCTTCTATAAGGAATGTTAAGTCACTTGCTAAGCCCATAAAAGTAGCTCGGCCGGAGTTTGAACCTACTTGCATCTTTTACCCTACGTTGTCATTAAGTCTGCCTCCACTGCTCAGTGACCATACGTGATACTGCTTTGTCATCTGACATTTCACCCCTGCACAGCATGTCCAGAAATTTAGCACCAGCATCTTCCCTTACCTGTCTCTTACCTGATTTCTGTCTGTTGAAGGAAAAAGATTACTGTATAGGTAACATCACAGTTAATATTAGAAAATCTGTTCTTTCCCTGCATATGATTTTGCTCTGGTATTTTTTAATAAAAATTGTATTTATATTTTGTTACTTTCCAGAAAAGTTTAGGTATATGTCCCAACTTTTTATTTAGTGTGTGTGTGTATGTATATATATATGTAAAACTTTTTCCTAAATTTTTGCTGCAAAGAGCATAGAAAATGATTTATTTGAAAGTACTTTAGTATAAGGAAAAATGGTTAGGTGATGAAAATGAAAGTCGGGCCTTTAGAGTTGAAAAATTTAGACAATGAATTGAGTTAAATGATTCAAGGTTTAAGTGTTAAAAATTAGTGATTAAACTATCTGATATCACAAAAATTATTTAAAAAATTAATGTTGTTTTAAAGTTGTAATCAGAGTTTTATTCCTGTGTGAAATAGACTCTTAAAAAAAAACTGTGAGTATTTAAACTAGTTTTGGTTAAGAAAGAAAATGGGCGTTGATTTGCATTATTTGTTATCATGACAGTACAAATAGCTATAGGATGGGTCATTCCCAAAGTTGTTGCTAGCCAGTTCAGTACTTTCAAGTTTTTCTTCCACTAACCTCTTTACCCTGGACGTTTAAAGTGCAGACTTCTGTAATATGAATTTCAATTTCTCTTCTTGCCCCTGCCTGCCCTCTGGTGTAGAAGGTGAAGAATAGTGATGAGAATCAACATTTTGTTAAGTTTTGTGATATTCAAAGAGTTTGAAAATGAAAAAGATAAAAGACGATAGATTATTAGTAGACCTTGTGTGACACAAAATGATTATATGTCACTTTTTAATGAATTTTAAAGACTCATATCCATTTCTAAGTGCATTACATATTGAATTTAATATTACTGAATTACCTCTGTTGTTCATACAGATTTTTCTCTATGTGTTTAAATGTGACAGTGGATTTTGATACCCTTTTGACTGTCTATAACATAAAACAGTCCTTTATATCACAAATTAAAAATGTTTTATTTATGATATTTTTGAACTGGTAAGAATGTTACTGAAAAAAAACTAAACATGGTTAAAACATACTTTAGGATTTAATGAATTGATTTTGAAGGTAAAATGTAATTTTTGTAACATTGTACCCATGATATGTAATAGTATGAAATTTTTTTACATTTTACTTTTGTTCTGCATTTTCTGTAAAAATCATGTATAGGAGTATATAATAATATAAAATAATATAGAGATATTTTTAAAATAATGAACTGATTAAGTGTATACATTAAAGAACAAGTTATTTTATAATGTTTATATGAGGCTTCCAATTCATTATTGTCCACTGTTTTCAATTAAATACTTTAAAGAAATTATAACTCTATTTCCTACTACAAGAGATTCCATAGAAAACATGTACATAGCTGAAAACATGTATATAACTGCAACATATTTTCCAGAAAAGATATTCAGGATATTCAAGAAAAATAACTTTCTTTTTAATCCTTGTAATTGAATGGAAGTTACAATGTTGCATTCTGATCATTAGGTAATTTCATGAAATTTGATTAATTTGCCTGAAAAATCTATAAACCTATTTCTAAAGAAATATTCTTAATATTCTATTTTTCTATTATTCCTTATAAGAATCATAAGGAATATAATTTAGTCGTGGTTCAGTAACACACACTCAAACATCCTATGAAAATAATTCAGTGGTTTATTTGCATTCCAAAAATCCAGCGATCCTCTGAAAAATGAGAAGCAATTTTAGAGTGGCTTCCAAAAGCCTTACTTTTTATTATTATGATAATTTAGTTAGTAAACTAAACTATAACTATATAACTATATATGTATGTATATGACTATATATATATAAACTATACATAACAAACTAAGTGAACTACACATGTGTAGTGTCTGGATTTATACTGTTTTAAAGATCAGTTATTAAAGAGAGAAAGAGGGAAGAAGAGAAGAGAGGGGAGGGAGGGATGAAAGAATAAAAGAAAAAAAGAAATGGCAAAATGGAATGGGCTCTTAATGAGTGACTTACTTGATATAGTATTTATTCCTGAGAAATTTCCTGAAAGGATAATTTTTCTCAGTTTTTTTCTTTATATTTTCTCTCAGGTTTATTCATGATTCTGTTTTAAAATATTTATTGAAAACCTATATTTATTTAAAATGCAGTTGGGAAGAAATAATCAACTTTGTTGACGTTTGCTCTACAATTAACTAGAAACTATTCCCTATTTGACTTTTGTTTTTCTTTTTTTGAGACAGAGTCTCGATCTGTTGCCAGGCTAGAGTCCAGTGGTGTGATCTTAGCTCACTGCAACCTCCACTTCCTGGGTTCAAGCGATTCTCCTGCCTCAGCCTCCCAAGTAGCTGGGACTACAGGCACGTGCCAACCACGCCCAGCTAATTTTTGTATTTTTAGTAGAAACAGTGTTTCACCATGTTGGCCAGGATGGTCTCCATCTCTTGACGACATGATCCGCCCATCTCAACCTCAAGTGCTGGGATTACAGGTGTGAGCCATCACGCCCAGCCTGACTTTCTTTGGTGAAAAACTTTTTGTAGATTTTACTCTATTGATTTAGTAAATAAAATGTACTAAATTACATTTAATTTTTTTAATGGTTAGATACCTTCCGGTTGTTTTCAAGGATTATCATTTTTTATAAAACTAACACAAAATCAAGTAAAATGAGGATTTAATTAATAAATATTTATATGAGTCAACTAAATCAAACTTTTATCTCTTTTGATGGCTGCCTTTTTCCTGCTTCCAATGGAAGGATACTAATACAATAAAATGTGAGAAGATATATTCTTATATGTTATTTTAGTCAGATATCTGATATTTGGGATATATCTTCATTATTGCTAATCCACTGGATGTTTGTTAATCATCTTGATGTTTACATTTATTATGAATACCTGCCGTTTGTCTTTTCTTCTATTTATTATTTCAGCATCATAATTATCAGACAAATTCATGTTTTCATAAAATAATTATTTCTATATATGCATGTAATTGTCTTTTTCATGTCATAGCTGATATATTCTCTTTTGTTTATGATCCAAAATGCCTGGCTTGTATCTGTGAGACTGGATTTTGTACAACTTCAGTATGACTAGATATTAAAGTGATCCTTTTATAAATACCTTTGCATAATTATAAAGTTAGATAAAACAGTCCAGTTTCTCATTGGCCCTTTTCTCAAACGTGGAGTACACATGAAGAAGATCTTACCATCTTTCTTTCTCATAGTTTTCTTAGCGTTTAAGGTGAGTCTCACCAGGTTCATTCTGCTGCTGCTTCTCTTCCGCCTTGCCTTATATCTGTTAAGCTACACATTATCAATTGTTTGTTTATTTATTTTTGAGACGGAGTCTCATTCTGTCACCCAGGCTGGAGTGCAGTGGAGCAATCTTGGCTCACTGCAAGCTCCGCCTCCCAGTTTCACGCCATTCTCCTACCTCGGACTGAGTAGCTGGGTCTACAGGTGCCCACCACCACACCTGGCTAATTTTTTATATTTTTAGTAGAGACAGGGTATCACCGTGTTAGCCAGGATGGTCTCGATCCCCTGACCTCATGATCTGCCCGCCTCGGCCTCCCAAAGCACTGGGATTACAGGCATGAGCCACCACGCCCGGCCATCAATTATTTTAAAGTTATCAGGTGATTGGTAATATTGTGACTTGTGTAGATTGTAGATTTCCCAACAATTTAAGCACACATGTAAACGTAACACATGAAAACATGGTGAGACATCAGTGGAGTTAGTGTTAACTACCAAGCCATAGTCGTTGGTCCCGAGCGGAATCCCGTCATGAAGATTAGCTAGAGAAGTTCCTTCTTGGCTGGATTCTCTTTTGATGTCCAGTTCCTCATTGTTCACTGATGTGCTTTATTCCACATCAGGATATGTGACTAATACTTCCTTAGATTGAGTGGACAAGGAATTTGTAAATGCATTTAAATAGCTCTAACTATTATCTGTCCTAATTTGCTACTCCATAGATCCATGCAGATGTAGAAACAGGAATGTAGAAAGAGGAATTATGGCCCCTTTGAAAGTAGATTGTGAAAATTTCATAATGCAAAATTCAGTATTCCCTGACAGAGATAATCACATTTTTCTAAAAGATACAGGATTTTCATGCATTTCTTCAGTACCTATATGGTGATATAAATCCTTCTCTACATCTCTCTCTGTTTCCAACACACACACACACACACACACACACACACACACACACTACAGTAGGTTTGTTATACACATCTAGATGTGTATAAGAGACAGGTTCTCAGGCGCTATATGGGTTCTTTCAAATTAGAAACTCATGAGTTTTCATTATGAAGGCCGTGCGTGATTATTTGATGATTTTCTTCCCTCTG